AAGTGCATCCATTTGAACATAAAAAAACCACAAACAAACAAACCCACAACCTATTCAAAATCATTGCTATTACACAATCTCAATACATTTTGAGATAACAACCAGGCTGATTTTAGAATCATAGAACATTTAGGTTGGAAAGGACCTTTAAGATCATCTAGTCCAACCATTAATAGTTTTGACAATATCCTTCTTGAACTGCATTCAAAAATCCGACCTCCTTAGCAAGAATATAGCCCCAACTATATTTTTGACGGCTTTTCTGTTCCTGAATCCGGTTCCACAGAAAATATGCCTGACATAGTGTACTTGGCCTCTCTTTTTAGAGATGTATAATGTTGACATTTGCAGGCCTAAGTATTTCAAGGACTGAAACTATCAAGTTTTAAATCTTTCTAACAAGCATTTAATTTTCAGCCAGTTGGAAACTGCTTAGAAGACAAGCTGGCAGAAAGAAAGGAAAACATATCTTGTTTCCATCTTCCATGTACATGTGTACTGTCATGATAAACTGGGGGAATGTTACAACAACCACAAAGTTCAGTCGCAGCGGGCACTCCTACATTCCCTGTCGTGCCTGGTCATCTACAGTTTGTGTGGTCAGAAAAGCACCCGAAATTACTAAAATGGTAACAGGGACTTAGGTAAGCAAGCCAGCTATTCAGGTTGAGGCAATGCTATGGCAGTGGACTGACTTGTACAGCTAGAGTATTAAGAAATGTGTTCACAGGCATCTGAACAAATTCACAGCAAAGGCAATTTCTTCTTTTGGCAGCAGAATTACTGCAATTTACAATGTCATATACCTTGCTTTAAAAGTCTTTTCATATGAACGTGCTTAGAAGAAAAAAATAAGAGGTAAATTACATGGTCACTCTTGCTTGCCCAGCTAGAACATATGAATATTAATCCATCTGTAAGCAAAGCTGTTCAGTACCTCCTCTTCAGCCACTCACATGAAAACACTGGATATTCAAAAACAAGTGTGTGAACCAAATGCTGAGCCCTCTTCTAGCAGGTGCACTTACTGCTTCCTCTGCTGAAAGAGTAAGTTTACTAAATATTTTTGCAAGAGATTTGTAGGACATGGTATTTCTCCCTTAGAAAGATAATATCCTTGAAAGAAAATCTCCTACCTAAAACACATGTTTTCTATGAACAGTTTGATGTGAGAAGAACTCTTCAGACTAGAGTTCTTGACAGAAAATGGCATAAAATCCAACCAAAGGCTCTGCCAAAACTTCCTAAACCTTTGGAAAAGATTCAACTACTTAAAGTCCAATTTACATATAGGATTTTTTCCATTTAAAGTAATATGCAAAACTGTTCTTATTACTTACATACACTTCTTTGTATGCACACACACAGAAAATGGATAAAATCCCCTTTGCTATATTAAGCTATTAAAACACAAATAAAAGCAACATGAACTGGCTGCTACATGATGAATTTTGTATTAACTTCATCATTAACCTGAGATCATAACTCAACACTAGTGATCACATAGTTTGCTTCGTGTAGGACAGCTCTCGATACAACCTTCACCTTAAATTCCACATACAAGTATTAAAACTCAGTATCAGATTTACTGAATTAAAGATAACACTATGGAAATAAGTAATGAAAATATTTCACAAATGAAGACCTTGATCTTCTACATCAGCAGATGAAAAGCAGAATGGTGGGCTGCTACAAACTCAGAGTTGGTCCTCTGACTTCAAGTCTATTTTTGCTGTCACTGAACAGCATACATATATACTCAAAAGGGATAAAGAGCACTGCTTGTCCATACAGCCACATTCAACCAAACTTTTATAACCCAGGTGAGAAGGAGAAAAACAGTAAAGCACTGCCTCAGACCTAGAGCTAGCTTTACCACCTAAACCAAAAACTTCATGTAACTATACCTTCAAACACAAGCTTTCTGTCTGTACTTTCAAAGTCCTTCACAACCTGTCCGGCATACCCTATCTACCATCTTAATCATTTCCCAGTCACGATCAATTTCTACTTTTAGCATTCTTTGATGGCAGTCTCTACTGACTGTCAGATAAGAATATGTCTGCTATTCTGACAGTCATGATGATTGTGAGCTGTTTTCCACTGTTTCCACAAAGATATTACACTCCATCAAAACTTTCTTTGTAGTATCTCATAAAAAGAACAGTGCTTAATTGTCTGTATGCTGATCCAAACAACTATTCGGCTTCCCTGTGCCCATGAGCACTTGTATCTAACAGTTTTCCACGATTCCATAATTAGTTATCCTTGGGGTAAGGAAAGTTTCCATTTTCATATGCATCAGCATACTCCTGATGCGCTTTGTCCTGATTAAAGACAAGGACACAGAAGTGAAGCAGTAACACAGATAAAAAATTTCTCCTTGAATCTCCTGATTTGCATCAGTTCCAAAACTAAAACCAACAGAATTCAAGGTTGAACACAGAGAAGATTAGTCTTGTCATTAGTTGTAATATCAGGAAGGTGAACAAAACACACGCAGGCTTATCTTGGTCAATCTGCACCATATGAATTTAAAGGGGAAAAGCAATGACCTTTGAAAGGCTCAAACTTTGAAATTCACTGACAGTATCACTAATTCTACACCATGGATTTTGTATATCACTGGGCAAACTTATCAGTTATACAACATTTCTCCTTAGAAAAGGAGACTATTAGCATAAAACTAGAAGTTGAGCTATTACTGTCTGCTCCAAACTTTCATTCCAGGTAAGGAGATGCTGCAGTAGCATAAACAACAAAAAACCAACCAACCAACCTAGCACTGAAACTGAACTATGACACAGCATCAGAGTAAAAGCACAGATGTACAAAAGCATTCCCCAGGGGGCTGAAGCTCCTCAAAAACATACAAAAGGAGAGAGTTTTTTTTGCTTACAAAGAACTGTAGGGTCCACTTGACAATAGCTTCTAACAACACTGTGTATTTGAATCCCCACAGATCTTCAAAATCAATAACCTTTGAAATAGCCCCTTTCCAAAGAATACATATCACACTAAATTGAGGTCAGAAACTTTATTTTTTGCTCAGGTGAAATTATGCATGTGCTTATTAGAAGTTTGACCTGAGGAAGGAAACATGGGATCAAGCCAATCAATTTTTGAGAACTAAACTTTCTTGCTAATTACACTCTTCACTGATACGAAGTTCTTGGCAGAACAGCTCCAGTTGGTGCTAAATCCACTGAAAGTTCATTTTACTACTATGTTCCACAGATATATTTTATTTCACTCAGGTTTTTTATTCACTGATTGCAAGCATTTTTGTGACAACTGGCTTTGGCCAAGCACATTGTCACACTGGAAGTTAGAATACAAGAATCTGTCTAAACATTTTCTTTTTATAAAAAAATTTCAAATAGTAATTTAAGAAATAAAATTAAAGCTGTCAACTTTTAAAAACATATCCTCAGAAAACAGCATAAAACTGTTTTCATTTACATTCTTGTTAGTCAAAGATAATCCTCCCATGGCACAGACCCAAATTTTAGCCTCCTGAATGCACATACCACTGAATAATTTGTTCGAATGTCAGTTGCAATTTTCAAAAATCCCTTCTTGCCTCTGAATCTTAAACATCTGTAACAAATACTTGTTTTGAGAGTGCTTTACATTTGTGACACTTGACCTTTTACTGTATGCACCACAAAATTTAAGTTTCAAATACCATGCAAGCAGGAAATCTGATCATTCCAGCAGTAGCCATCTGCATGGTCCAGTATCAAATATTAGTTCTGGGTTGCACAAAGTCATAGGCTACAGATCTTCTTCTGCAGCTTCTATAATTAGTTGCAATTTGCTGCTTCTAAAACATTTCTTATGGAACATCTGGCCTCAAAATCTTACCTACCATTAGAAAAGCACTTAGCATTTGGCTGTTGGTGTGCATACATGTGTGTATATGCACACATGCACACGGAGTGAACTACAGGATGCAAGTATATGCTTTGTGGTTGGCACACATAGGTTTAGAGATTTCTATTCCAGCAACAAAAGCCTTTTAGCTCTGTAACAGTAAAAGAATATTACAAGAAATATTAAACATAATGGAAACGTGTTTTCAAATGTTTCTGCTGGCTTATGTCTAATTATTGATGTTAAATGTTAACAGCTCATCAAGCACCCTACCAAACACTTGAGAGCTTTGCACAAGCTGGAATTTTCTTTTGCATTATCCTTAATATAGCTGGAGGACTGTGTTGAAATTAAAATGTGAACAAGGCTTTAAAAAGAAAACAACCAAAAAAAAAAACAAACCAACCACAAAACCTCTCTAGGGTTAAAGCACCATACTGAATAAAAAAAAAACAAGTGCAACGTTAAAATACCAAAGTACTTTTTGTTAACTAGGTTAGACATATAACAAAATTGAGCCACTGCATATTTCAAGTTTCATTGTGTCAGAAGAAAATCCTTCCTGAGCCTGTGAAAAACAGTGTAATGGCAAATTATTGCAAGCAACAAAACAAAAAGCCCTTTGAGACCCTCTCATGTAAGAAAGCTTCTAAGTACATTCAAGCAAATACTGTAACTTCTGAAGGGAAAAAAGAATTCACTCCTGGATCTTTAAAGCACTCCTTTAATAATAACACCACATGTTTTGAAAAATGCCCAATGCTCAGTGGTGCTGCCCACAGCTGTCTCAAGCAACCAGCACTGCTCCTTGGGAGGAAGAAGTTGGAAGTGTGCAGGAAACTACATTGTTCTTGAAATACTTTTTTTGTCAAGTCGTAAGAAAATTCCAGCAAAGCACTATTAACATGCTGTTACATCTGCAAGAACACAGCTACAGCTAATAAAGAATTAAAAATAAGCATAAACAAAGATACTAGCCATGATGAGAACAATATCAGCCTCTTAAAAAAATAGCAGGGACCGCACCTTCACATGCCTGATTCTTCAGGTAGCTTTAAAGGTGACCATAGAAGCTATTATTTGCAACCTCTCAATGTTAGAAATGCATTCATCACATTTCTTACCTGAGCCCCGTCCTTTAATTTCAAGATGCATTCCATTGTATTGATGGTGATAACAACTGGCTCTGATCCCAATTTTGTCCATGGCACATGAATCCGAAGTTCATGAATATGCCCGCTTAAAAAGGTAAATGGTAGTTTCAGCTCCTAGCAACAACAAGAAGAGTGGTGAATGAACTACTGAAACACATCAAAATTCAAGGCACATTTGTAACTTAAAATAGTACAGTTCTAGCACAAAACATGTCAGAATTTATTCGGTCTCCCCACATCAGCAGTGTCAAGGCATGGGCCTTGACAACTAGCTTTACAATCACTTGCACACATACAATTAGTCTATTCAATGGAAACATTTGGATTATCATGTCCTTAATAATCAAAGACAATTTAAAGCCACCTCTTCTGCACGAACCTATCGCAAAATGTGTCACTGTTCAACGGACAAGCAGAAATGAACCACGTGAAAGTAAATACTTAAAATTATACACAACCTGCATTATTCTGAAGAACACAAATTTGGAATTAAACAAACATTGACAAAGCCACAGCAAGTCAATGTCTTAAAAAATATTTTAGTTATAAGAGATTGGAGCTTAAGATTGGCCTACTGTGGCCACATTCACAACAAACTGCTCCGTAATACAAAGTTATTAAATTTTTCATTCACAAATTCGATAACTCCTCACCAAGGCCCTATGTGTATAACGCACTACTCTAAAAACTGGTGCAAGTCAGCCCAGAACTCCTAACAAATGCCTGGTGCCCCACCCAGTCAATACGTAGATCACACCTCTATAGGACAGCCCTAGTGACCCAGCTGCTGCTGCATGCAGCGAATCAGCAGAAAACAAGGTACCAAGGTTTAAATTCTTTGGATACAAAGTGCTGAAATTCCCCCAGTAGCTCCAGGGGTTCTCCCAGGATTCACGAGCTTAACGCCTATCAGACAAACGATCAGGCTAGAGACCTGGTCCCAGAACTAGACATCAAGATTTGGAATAAGGAAATAAGTGCTTAGTGCAAAATAAATAAACCATATTTGATATTATTACAGAATTTTAAGTTAGCATTTTTAATACTACGTATTCTAATGATAAGACTTCAATGATAATGTACTTCCTGATCTCCTATCCTGACATTTTTGGCTATAAAGGTTTTAAGTCTTAATGGGGAAAAAACAACAGATGTCTTTAGCTGGAGTTGCTTATAGCCTGGTGTTTGTGTCTTCACCTTAGATGCTGGGAACTACAGGTGTGAATATTCTCAGGTTGAGGAAGAAGTGAATCTAAGTCTCCCAGATACTCAGCAATAGTTCTCACCATTACAACAGAATATTTTCAGTTGGAAGGCACCTACAACAATCATCTAGTTCAACTGCCTGACCAATTCAGGGCTGACCAAAAGCTAAAGCATGTCATTAAGGGCATTATCCAAATGCCTCTTAAACACTGACAGGCTTGGGACATTGACCACCTCCCTAAGAAGACTGTTCCAGTGTTTGACCACCCTCTCAGTTAAGAAATTCTTCCTATGGTCAAGACTGAACCTCCCCTGGCTCAGCTTTGAACTACTCCCACAGGTCATATCACTGGATACCATACAAAGAACTCAGCAACTCCATCTCTGCTTACTGTCCTCAGGAAGCTGTAGAGAGCAATGAAGTCACCCCTCAGCCTACCCTTCTCCAAACTAGACAAGCCCAGAGCCCTAGCCATTCTTCACAGGACATTCCTTTTAGCTTCCACCAGCTTTGTTGCTCTCCTCTGGACACATTCAAAGACCTCCACATCTTTCTTAAATTGTGGTGCCCAGAACTGCATACAGTGCTTAAGGTGAGGCCACACCAACACCACATACAGCAGGACAGTCACCAATTTTGATCAGCTGGCTATTCTTTGTTTGATGGACTGCAGGATGTGGCTTGCCCTCTTGGCTACCAAGGCACACTGCTGATGCACATTGAGCCTGCCGTTTCTTAGTATACTCAGGGACATAAACCTTTGTTCAGCAGAATTTCCCTGGAAACCTGGGACTTAAGCACCTTGGCTCAATTTAGGTACTAGGTACTTGCATGCTCTGACTCGGTACTCCTGTGAATGAGTAGAAGTTAAATAGAGAAGGTCCGTGAAAATCTGAGATCAAGCAGGTAAGGTGGTAGGGAATTTTAGACAAACATCCAGAAGTGGATCCAGAAAGCCTATTTTCCTGCACTTTCTGACTTTAGTCGTACCCCTGCTGTATAGAAGTTCTACAATAACAAAATCTGAGGACGTTTTGCATTTAGTACTGGGCATATATAATAAGTCTACCTTCTGCGAAGCTGGTTAATATGTGCCTAACATCTTGAAACTGCATTCAAATCTTAGTGGCATGTTTTCTAAGCCCACTAAAAATTTTTTCGTAAGTTCCAAGTTGAAATAACTACCACTGCAACTGTGACAGGTTAGCATCCTGACTCTAATTAGTCATCCAAAGGAGAAGCCACCTATTCTTACCCACAAATACCTAGCAACATCAAAGCGACAACAGCTCCTAATAGGAGCAACATTAAGGAACACACTCTCCATTCCACAGATACCTCTTTAGCCTTTCTACTGGTATGACTAAGAAGTTCATCTTGCATCCAAGACCTAATAGTAGATGAAATATATTCACTGCTAACAAAATCTTCAGAGAAGACACCTCACAAAACAATAGCTATACGTTTTGTTGTCATAAAGCTTTCAGTTTGTGAATTAGGTTTCAGGGTTTACTAAGTTTTCATTAACTAATTTAAAAAGCCTCACATCTGTCTCATGTCAGGGAACCTCCTTACTGTTACCTCAGCCATGCTTACAGAAAGTCACATCTAATTCCAAGCCCCCAGTCCAAAAGATGAGAGTTACAGGCTTCCCCATGAAAACAGTTCGCAGCAGTCACTTTTTTTTTTTTTAAAAAGAAAGCATTTTTTCTTCACCTCATTCACTAATATACTGAAGGATTTTAGCTGAAAGCCTCTCTCCTAAAAATTTAGCCTTAGGCTTACAGTCAACCCAAACAAAATTTTAACCCACAGAGTCTCAGTCAAGCCACTGAATAGAGATACTGAGCAGTTCAGTACAGCCATCGCTACACTGGTCATACAATAAATGAAAAAGTACCTTATGTCCCACAGCCTGGGGGGAAGAGAGGGAGGAAGGCAGGCAGAAAAAAATATGGACTCTAAAAGTACATTCCAGCTTAAGAGACAATGCTTTCATGAATCAAGACAGCAAGCTATTACTATTAACAGTAACAGAAATAAATTCCTTTCCAGACTTGCAGGCACGTAATTTTTATGTTGCTCATCAATACCATAACATCTATTTATAGCCTGACTTGTGTTCACATGTGTAAGTTACAAGTTTACTTCAAAAGGTACTCTAGAATAGATATTTTTCCACTATTTGCTGGATAGATTTAACATATTCTCATTTTTGTCTAGTTAACTGTAAGATAGTTAAAGAAACAGAAACAGGAATTATTTCAAAATGAGGTGATACAACCAAATGCACAGCTTACTTAGAAGACAGTTATTTCTCAAAGGAATTTGCCTGACATTATCCTAATTGCACAGCCAAATTTTCTTAAAGCCATGCAGACAAATCTTTGTTATGCTATTTCAGTAGACAATACAAAACAAATGTGTGCCAGATTTAATAACTTGCTCATAATACAACATATCAAAGACCATTTCTTTCTGCCCTCCTTTTCTGTGCAATCTTTCCCCTTTCACTAAGTACTGAGTGTTTGGTGACCCACAAGTATGCAACATGACATGGAAGTATTAACATAGAATCTGGTATGAGTTGGGAAGGCCCTTAAGATCATCTAGTTCCAACCCTCTGCCATGGGCAGGGACACCTCACACTAAACCATGTCACCCAAGGCTCTGTCCACCCTGGCCCTAAACACTGCCAGGGAGCATTCACAACCTCCCTGGGCAACCCATTCCAGTGCCTCACCACCCTTACAGAAAAGAACTTCTTCCTTATATCCAATCTAAACTTCCCCTGTTTAAGTTTTAACCCATTACCAAATTAAGGACAAAAATACAGAATCAGAGAATGGTTAGGGTTGGAAAGGACCTTAAGATCAACTTCCAACCCCCTGCCATGGGCAGAGACACCTCACACTAAACCATGTCACCCAAGGCTCTGTCCAACCTGGCCTTGAACACCACCAGGGATGGAGCATTCACAACTTCCCTGAGCAACCCATTCCAGTGCCTCACCACACTTACAGGAAAGAACTTCCTCCTCATATCCAATCTAAACTTCCCCTGTTTAAGTTTTAACCCGTTACCCCTTGTCCTATCACTAGAGTCCCTAATGAAGAGTCCCTCCCCAGCATCCCTATAGGCCCCCTTCAGATACTGGAAGGCTGCTGTGAGGTCACCACACAGCTTCTCTTCTCCAGGCTGAACAGCCCCAACTTTCTCCACCTGTTATCTGTATAGAGGTGCTCCAGCCCCCCAGTCATCCTCGTGGCCCTCCTCTGGAGTTGCTGTTTGCTCCATGCCCTTCTTATGCTGAAGACACCAGAACTGGACATGAACGTCAGCTGAAGTGCAAGGAGTGAGGGGAGAAAGAACAGACTTGTTCCCAAACCTTTTATAAGGTGCTTTGTCCAGGTAGTTGTCACCTATGCTACTGTACCCGAATAATCACTACAGTTCCAGAAAAGCTGGAATTCTCTGAAAATGTTTAAGGCTCCAGACAAAGATATCCAGGGTATGTGCATTTGTATCCAAAGTATAAAGCATAAAATTGAGGCTGTGTTTATGCCAGATAAGGAGCAGGGAACCAGGCTTAGGATAACAGCTCAGGAAAGGATGTTAGAAGACCAGAGCAGTTAAGGCAACTAATTTTGGATATCACAAATCCATTCAGGCAGAAGGACTTTCTTTTCAAGGGAGCTCTCTGCCAGCTGCAAAGGTCTTGGGATGTTGTATTACTACACACTCAGAAAAAGAGTTTTGCTGAGCAGGCATAAAGCAGCACCCTTACCACAAAAAAATAGAAAAAAAAAGAAGAGAGAGAATAGACATCCTAAATACAGTCTGTGCATCCAGGCAAGTTCCAAAGAATAATAAAAGCCAAAATAAGTTCACTAGTTTTCACACAAACACGGAGCCAAATATAGAAAAAAAAAAAAAAAAAGTAATCTGAGCTATACTCATAGACCCATAGAACAGTTAGGGTTGGAAAGGACCTTAAGATCAACTTCCAACTCCCCTGCCATGGGCAGGGACACCTCACACTAAACCATGTCACCCAAGGCTCTGTCCAACCTGGCCTTGAACACTGCCAGGGATGGAGCATTCACGACTTTCCTGGGCAACCCATTCCAGTGCCTCACCACCCTTACACTAAAGAACTTCTTCCTTATATCCAGTCTAAACTTCCCCTGTTTAAGTTTTAACCTGTTACCCCTTGTCCTATCACTAGAGTCCCTAATGAAGAGTCCCTCCCCAGCATCCCTATAGGCCCCCTTCAGATACTGGAAGGCTGCTGTGAGGTCACCACACAGCTTCTCTTCTCCAGGCTGAACAGCCCCAACTTCCTCAGCCTGTCTTCATACAGGAGGTGCTCCAGTCCCCTGATCATCCTCGTGGTCCTTCTCTGGACTTGTTCCAACAGTTTCATGTCCTTTTTATGCTGAGGACACCAGAACGGCACACAATACTCCAAGTGAGGTCTCACAAGAGCAGAGGGGCAGGATCACCTCCTTCACCCTGCTGGTCACGCTCCTTTTGATGCAGCCCAGGATACAGCTGGCCTTCTGGGCTGCGAGCGCACACTCCTGGCTCACGTTCATTTTCTCATCAACCAACACCCCCAAGTCCTTCTCCGCAGGGCTGCTCTGAATCTCTTCTCTGCCCAACAATTTTGTATTCATTGCATATTCACATCCCCATTTAAGCTGATAGAACATTAGCACAGGTATATTATGGCAACATTTGCTTCTACAAGAGCCATGACATTAACAGATTGCACTGGATGTTTAGGTACCCAGCTGATAAATTGGCAAAGATGAAGAGATCACCCACCAGCAAACTGCAACTATCTGAGAGGGAACAACATAAGTGACAGCAGCAAAATCCTAACTGTACCCGGTAATGTAGCAAGTTTGATACATCCAACCCAAGTCACCATTTGTTATTTGGACAAACCGTCTCTCTACACAGTATAGCAAGTGGAGGTTTTCACAACCAATACAGGAGATTTCAAAACTCAACTGGAGAAAACCACAAGCTGATCTGACATAATACTGGTAAGAGCCCTTCTCAGAAGAGGAGGTTGGACTGGATAACCTCCAGAATTCCTTTCTGATCAACCCTTCTCAGATTTCCTAATATATACATTAAAAAGGGCTTCAAATATTCATGGGAGGAACACATCGTACCAACTGAAGTCTAGTATCCACATCAGCTGTATGAACAAGCCATACCAATAAAGTGAAGAACTTGATAGGAAATACACAGGCCACCAGATACTTCATATAAGACAAATCAGGCTCTTTACAAAAGCACAGAAAACGGGACAGGATCTCTTGTAAGATTGTCTCCTCTTCCAGAACAGGATCAGAGATCACATTCTTTCACATTTTAGAAGGTCTCCCAGTAGAGACCATGCAGCCTCCTCAGTCTTCTCCAATGCCTCATAATCCGATTAAAACAAGGAAATTTCCCTTTACGTCCAATCTAAGTCTCTCCAAATGCAATTTATTCCTTGTCTCATCCACGTAATTCTTGTCCTATCTTGTCTCACTTTTTTTTATTCCAAAATTAAAACACATTACCTATTTAATTTTTTTTTCAGTGGCCATATTGCCTAAATCTCCCATTATTTTTTGCTGCATTTCTCTCAGCTCCTTCACTTGGACTACATCTGGACACAGGACACCAGCTAAGACTCACTACATCAACATAAAACAGCTTTATTGGTCTCACACATCCAAATCCTTGTCAACTCAGGTAAGCATACAAGGGAACAGTCCCTCTGCTAAGCGTTAATCAGTTCATATTGACAGCAGGCTCCAGATTCTGTACCAAGTGTTTTACTTGGTCAAGCTTGTCTTTTAAAGGCCGAGAGCCCCTGATCTAATCCACACAAACCAGCTGATCAACTCTGTCCTTCAGTTACTCTGAAGTTAAATACAACTGGAATGATGAAACCTGGAATTATAAAACAATACAGAGAACACAAATCTGCAAAATTAAAGAGAGCTCCTACTTTGTGACATTCTGAATTAGTTACTATATGCAATTAGTAAATATGACTGGAAAAGCAATTAAGTTTATGTTCATACTGTAAAACAATAGTTACCGAAATAGGAAACATGTCCACAAAAAGCCGTTCTTTTCACACCCCATAACTTACAGGGTGTGCAAAGAATTACCATTCATTACCAAACAAATGGCATGGAATTAAAGCAAAAATAACGACATGCAGGGAAAATAAAGGGCTTGCATAAGAAGAAAGCCACCAAGTACTGAATGAACATTTATCTGTGCAGACCAACCTAAATTAGTCAACTTCTTTTAGATCAAGGACATAGAGTGCAACTACTATAAACATACCTGTTCAAGCACATCTAGCTTTAATTCAAGTTTACTAAGTACGACATCTCCTCCCCAGAGTGACAACTGTAGATCTGAAGGCTTCAGATTCTTTATGTAGCGATTCACATAACTCATTAGAATAGGAGTAACATAGGACTCCAGCATTCTGGAAGATTTCTGTATTACAGGGCAAGCACTAAGGAAAAAAACAAAACAATGAGATATTATTCATAAATCTGTCAGCCTAACTTTCAATAAAGCAACAGTTACATTGAATAGATGAAAATTTTTATTTCAGACTCTGCTTTGTAAACATGTATGTCTATATGTAGAGATACATATACTTACACATAAAGGTGAAATACATACCAAAATGAAAGCACATTTATTTGCATTTACAAAGTTCCAGTTTATACACATACATATACTAGAACTAAAAACTGGCTTGTTCACTATCAAAAGAAAAGTCAACCTAACCAAACCAAAAAGAGGAGGTCGAGCAGTCTACCATGCTTTCATATAAAACTTAAATGACACAAACCCTGTCATTTTTAATAGACAGAAATCCGTATTAAAACACCCCCTTCGATACACCTCACCGACCTGATAGCCTGAGCATCGTGCACACTCCAAAAACGCCATCTTCCTGCCACCCTTAACCCTAAGCAAACCAGCACCTTTCACAACCCAAGCTAAAGATGCATTGGCGCTTGCCACCAATCCCCGCCACCCTCCCGCCTTTTCAGCATCCCGGTGTCCTTAGGGGACCCCACCCCGCACCACCACCACCGCAGCCCCTCCCGGGCACACCCAAGAAGCCAGGAACCCCCGCCCGTACCTTCGGGACACCCCTCACACACACACACAGCCCAGCCCCACGTCCTCTCAGCACCCCTTTACCTGCCCCTCCGAGGGGCGTGAAGCCCTGGCCCCGAAGCGCCGTGCCTCCGCCCTCACCGGGCGGATCAGGCCGCGGGAGCCCCGCACAGACACCACCTTTCCCCGCTCCTGCTTCGCCGCACGGGCACTTCCGGGTTCCCCGGCGCCTGTGCCCTCCCCCAGCGTCCGCCACCGAAAGTCCCGCGCGGGCCCGGGTTTGTGACTCAGCCGGAAGGGTTTGGCGGCAGGACCGGGACGGGGCCGGGGCCGGGGCCGGAAAGCGGGTGTGAAGCCGGCGGAGGTGACGCAATCTGCCAGGCGCTGGCCGGCGGGGCCGGGGCCGTTGGGGAGGTGGGAGGGGCGGTCCCGCGGTGGATCCCTGTGAGCGGCGGAGCCCGTGGTGCTGCCCCGCACCTTCCTCCGCAGAGTCGCAGCGCAGGGGAGCCTGGGGCGGGTGGCTGGTTTTTCAGCCTGTGGCACCATCAGTCCGTGGGGTGTGTTGAAGCTCCAGGTTTTGTTTCACAGTGTGCTATTGATCAATGAGAATTTGGGGCAATCATGGTGATGGCAAACACGTTGTGTGTTTCCACTGTGTTTAATAAGGCACCCGCTCAGAACGGGAGCAGAACTTCACTCAAAAGCAAACCAGCTTGGGTTCTGAGTGTCACCATTCCGCATTTGAGAAGAAAGTAACATAGGAATACCTTCTAATTTGTGCACTCCCAGAGCTGAATATGTTGATCAGAGAGCAAAGCCCTCCCCGCTGCCCTGAGACCTTTGGGGATTGCTCCAGGGAGCAAGTGAATTCCCTGGAAAAGCATGAGGTAATGCACTCCTCACAGGTTGGCAGGCGGATGATCTGGAAAAAAAGCTGGGACCCGTTTTTCTCCGGGGTGAAGCGCAGCAGGCAGTGCCTGTGGGCATGGCTTTGATGTAGATAATGAAAAACCTTCCACAAAGGCCTCTGATTTGAGTTTTGAAGAAAAGCCCAGGGTATGCCCACTGAGTTACACATTCCTCCTGGAAATCTGAAATCCTGTGTGTTCTATCTGTATGGTGTTACACGGCTGGAAACAGAAAAAAGAGAGCAGTATGTGGCACGCAGGGTGGGGTTGTGTGAAGCTGGGCCCAACCAGTGAGGGCTGAGGTAGGAGTCCCCCTCCCACAGCAGTACCTATGTTGAAATATGGCTAAACTAATCCAGGTCTGAAGGCTCCAGCTCCTGATGGGTTGGCTGGCTGCTCTGCCTCTGGTATACACATAGTGAGTTAGTAATGAATCTACTCTCGTTTTACATACACCATTACCTCATTTGCTGTGCCATCTTCACTCATGAATCACTGCTTGTAAGACAGTATTCACTTCACAAAGGACTGAAGCAGCTTGGACTGCTTTTCCTCTTACTACGGTTACCACTCCCACAGCACATACTGGAGCATATGTTTAACTGTTCTTCAGCAGCTGTGGCATGGTAACCTGTGGCTAAGAGGTGGTAGCAGGTAGGTGAAGGACAGACAAGCTTCAACATGATCAGAAGTTCTTTACTGTGAGGGTGGTGAGACACTGGAACAGGTTGCTCAGAGAAGCTGTGGATGCCCCTGGCAGTGTTCAAGGCCAGGCTGGGTGGTTTTTGAACAACCTGGTTCAGTGGAGGGTGTCTTTGCCCATTTCAGGGGGATTGGAACTCGATGATCTTTAAGGTCCCTTCCAACCCAAACCCTTCTATGATTCTATGATGTGCTTCTGACTTACAATTTATCTAGTGCTAATATTCTCAAAGAGTTCCTTTACACAACTGCTACACATTTCTGCCCTTCCGATAGAGTTGTGGGAGTGGTGAATTTTACTTGTAGAACTTTTGGGGAGTCTGCACAGCAAGACGTGAATTAATCGATGTTAATGGAAGCAACCTTGTTTATAGCACATCCTCCCTATAGAGTTGCATTGACAGCAGAGGGATGTGCCCACAGATATGTGTAATGTTGAAGCACACACTAAGCATGCATCAAAAGCCTTCCTTTCAACAGAAAAACATTCCTTTGTTTCTTTGTCCGTTATGTGATTAGTTTTGAATGACGCGTGCAATCAGCAAACACTGGAGTGTTTTCTGAAAGTTTGGAATTGAAGAACAACGCCCTATTTTGGTAAAAATCAGTAAACTAGAACAAGAGTAGGGGAGACACGTAGTGCTCCTGGCAGCTGCTTGGCAGACCTAGCAGCTCAGAACAACTCTGTAATTTTCCTGGCAGTTGCTAGCATTTCATTATAACTACTTCCATTTCAGTTCCAGTTCAAGTATGTTGACGTCCTGAATAATTTATTTCCTACAGAAGGAAAAAAGAAAAATACAAAAAATGTGAGGAAGGGGTCATGAGGGAATCAGTCTTTAACAGAAAGGAAATGGATGGCATGAAATGTAAGCACCTGGAGAGGGTTACAAGAGGTCTCTTATGTACAAAAGGATAAGAGCTGAGTACATGGGGAATTAAAGGTAACAGGCAGGTGGTGTGTAGTAATGAACTTGGGCACACAAATGTAACGAGGGCATGTCTGCTGGAAATGTCATCTGTCTGAGGCAGTACTATCTATTCAATATTTCAGCAATTTGATGAAAAATGTGCAGGATAGGTATAAACCAAAAGTGCAGATCTAGTGGTGCACACATCTTGTTCATTCATAGAATTTGAGGAATTCCGAACCCCTTAAAAGCTAACAAAAGTAGATACATGAGACTGGGAAGATGTAGGCAAGATTATGTAACATTTCTCCGGAAGTGAAAAGGGAACAGAGCTTCAAGGGAATCCTCAGGAAATGTATCAACCTGCAGGGGACCCTAGCTTGATAAAAGAACATTTCATAGTGTTGCTGCTGCTATGGATGATTCACCATTTTCAGCAGCAGAAGTGGGATCAATGAAGTGCAAAATGGACAGCAAAAAAAGAGTTCCTAAAAAATTAGTAAAGTCAAGAAAAGGTAGAGGATGATTAAGTGACTGTCCCACTGCCTAAGTCAAGTGGAAAAACAAGGAAATTAGACATCTAAATAGATTTTTTAATGTTTGGCCTAGGCTCTTTGCAGGACTTGAGAGACTCAGGGGTTACTGATGAGGAGGACTGAGAGACAGCCTGTAAGAAGCTCCTTTTTTTCACTGCAAAAAGTTTTCGGTCCTTTAGCCTTTTCCATCACTATGTCCCCTAGCTAATACTGAACGCTTTACCGAGTTAGCTTACTGATGTCCGTGTGTATCTTGCTTTGATTCTGCCTGTCCTGCTTCAATGCTTCCAAATACAGTGGCATGAATGTGGGCAGTGGGAGAAGACTTTGCTATTTTATGATTCTTTATACCCTACTGAGATGCCCTGTAGACAGCAGGAGTCTGACAGCATGAAAGAGATGGTAATGCTAAGCAGTCAATGTAATAGAGATATTTTAGAAACACCTGTGAAGGAAATAAAAATTAGTTGGGTTTCTTCCTCCTCTCCTGTTCTGGGTGCTAAAACTTGGACTAGTTAATTTGTAATGTTTCCTGGTTCCTTTTTCTGTTTCTACTACAAATTATTATCTGTAACAAAATATATTGTGCATTTTATATCTTATATATATGTATATAAATGTGCATTTATTATATATAAATATATTAAGATTTGTTGTCTCTGTTTTACAGGGAATTTCCTGAGTTCATGACTAAACTGACCAAAATTATTTATCTTCTGATATTTTCCAGACATTTAAAAACTACATCAATAAAAGCAAGCAGTATAAATCAATGTTTTACTATTAGAATAGCTTATTAGTAACGTGATGTTATTTAATTATTAAATCATGTATAGCCATCAAAAACTGGGAGACAAAAATTGCCATACCACTTTTATTATTTGAAGTTATTTTCCAGTTGACCAAAATTCACACAGATATGAAATCTGAAAAAAAAATAAAACCTAATAATAAAAAAAAAAATAAATTGCACATAGATTTTCATTGTGATCTGAATGTTAGGCATATTCTAGTTTTAAAGGTGCAAACGATTCTCTATCAATAGTTTTGTTTGTTCTTCTATTCCTTAAATTTGCCTGAAAATTATACTGAAGAAACTTTCAGCTATAGGCTTAAAGTGGTAATTTTTTTTCTAGTGTTAAAGAAAATAGATTAAACTGTGGCACTTTTAAAGCAGAAAATCAGTATTAAAATAAAAGTAAAATAATTTTAGAATTTGTAACTCTGATTATGAGCAAGAGTCTGTTGAAACAGTTAAATTCACACTACGTAAAATTGGAAAGCATTAATTCAGTGAACAAAGGTCACGAAGTTCTGGAAGCAAGTAGCTTTTTGATATATAATCCAGCTCATTGCTGCCTCAT